TGACCCTATAATTCGTGATCCTAGAGAAGCTAAATAAGAAGGTGAACCCAAAGAAAAACATATAGTCATCCTCCTGAATATTAACCTTCATCAGGCAATGAAAGGAGACAGAGACAGAGACCCACAATGGAGCACCGGACTGAAATCTCAAGGTCCAAATCAGGAGCAGAAGGAGAGAGAGCACGAGCAAGGAACTCAGGACCGCGAGGGGTGCACCCACACACTGAGACAATGGGGATGTTCTATAGGGAACTCACCAAGGCCAGTTGGCCCGGGTCTGAAAAAGCATGGGATAAAACCGGACTTGCTGAACATAGTGGACAATGAGGACTACTGAGAACTCAAGAACAATGGCAATGGGTTTTTTGATCCTACTGCACGTACTGGCTTTGTGGGAGCCTAGGCAGTTTGGATGCTCACCTTACTAGACCTGGATGGAGGTGGGTGGTCCTTATACATACCACAGGGCAGAGAACCCTGATAGCTCTATGGGCTGATGAGGGAGGGGGACTTGATCTGGGAAGGGGGAGAGAAATGGGAGGCGGTGGTGGGGAGGAGGCAGAAATCTTTAATAAATAAATTAAAAAAATAAAACTATAACATTATATTAGCAGATTAAAAAAGACCTTTACTGCATCTAATGAGATGATCAAAAAAAAAAAAGTTCTTGTGGATCTCCATGGTCCATACAGAAGACTGTTGATTCCGTGGCCTGTGCTGGTGTAGAGGGCTATGTTGATCTGAGTGGCCTGTGTTGCCACCTGAGGCCATATTGATGACCTTGGCTTATGCTGCCATGGAGGGCTATGATGGTGTCTGTGGCCTGTGCAATGGCAGAGGGCAGTGTTAATGTTTATGGTTTGTACTGCCACTGGGGACCATGCTGAGATACGTGGCATGTGCTGATACTAGGGACCATGTGGATGTCTGAGGTCTATGTTGTCATCATAAACCATGTGTATGTCCATGATCTATGTTCACGCTGATGGTAAAGAGCAAGGAAGCTACTTTTCCTATGGTTTTAATGACTACAGACTCACAGTTGAGAAGGAGGGACAGAAGACTTTTATAACAACCTCTATGGTGCTCACATCCCCTAAAAAAAGTAACAGCCTAGACGGAGAGCCATGGAAGAGGACCCTTAAAAACTGTGATAAGGATGCTGAAGTGTAGCTCTCCACAACTGATGCCTTCTGGTGGGGTGCAGGTGGGGAAGGAGCTGGCTCCTGGGAGTTTGACCTTGCTCCAGTCACTATATGGAGAACACAAATAGGGCTTCTTTCCCCTTTTCCTCTTCTTTTTTGGGGGGGAAGGAGTCACAAGTGTTCAGGGGTAGACCTAGGAATGTTGAGAAGTGAATATACTTGGGCTCACAATGTGAAATTCCCAAATAATTAGTAAAAATATTATGGAACAAAAAGGTTCATGTATAAACCAGGTACCATGCCTTTTTTCTTTAACACATGTGGGTGATATCAAAGGTAGCCTGTGTGCCCAGAAGCCAACTGCACCCACTCATCCTCAATTTGCTGATTAAATGAACCACCTTAGGGCTGGAGAGATGGCTCAGTGGTTAACAGCACTTACTGTTCTTTCAGAGGACCTGGGTTTGGTTCTCAGCTCACATGGTGTCTCAAAGTCATCTGAAACTCCATTTCCAGATCCGACACACTCTTCTGGCCTTCTTGGGCCCACATGTGGTACATATGCATGCAGTCAAGCACTCATGTAATACATAAAATAAGTAAACCTAAAAATATTTTTAAAAGACCCAAATTAACAGTGGAAAGTAGAAAAAGATTTATTCAGTGTGGCCACATTGGAAAGAAAGACAAAGACATCCAGCATACTCCCTCCTCAAAGTCTATCTTCCTGGTCCTTAAATGAGATTCAAGATTAAATAGCTGGCCAAGGACATGCCACTTATGCAGTCCTGGTCAAAGTGTGGTCCCACCCATCCACGCCATTGCCTGGGCTAGACTCTCATCCTGTAAAGTGATCTGTCAGGTTGTTAGAACTGTGAGAAACGTCCTTCTTGAATCAAGTCACCACCCTGCCTAGGGCCTTTGCTTTCCCTGAGAATAAGATTCCTGGAGAAATCCCTTATCTTCGGGCTGCATTGTGTCAGTACTTCGTTAGAATACCGAGATAAATGAGGAAACCAAGATGCATGAAAAGAAGGACCTGAGTGCTCATAGCTTTATCTGCATCAGGTGCTGTCAGCAAAGTATCTTGTGAGCCTGTGGTTCAACCATACTGTGGGCCTCCAGTTTGTCATAAAAAGGCAGCAACTGCCCTCTACCGTTGACTCAGCGAATGACAGCCTCACACTTCAGGACGTGAGCTGTGGGGAATGGAGGAGTTATGCTCGCCAACTTCAGGGAGTGAGACTAGAGTCTTTGTAAACTGGGTAGAGTGTTATTGGTTATCACACTCAAGCTTACTCCTGGGCTCACGAGTGTCCCCCCTCCTGCAAATCAATAGACGTAAGACTGTGGACCCTATTACTTTCATCCTTGGGCTGATGTTCTGGAAACTGCTTTGGAGTTTCAAAAATAAACATTTTTTTTCCTTCTAGCTCTTCAAAATTTTAGACTATTATAATATTTAAAAGACTATTTAAAGAAACATTATATATAAATGCAATTTAAGCTTATGGGTCAATGCTTAAAATACAGATACATTCAAAGAATAGAATGGTCAACACTTTTTACTCAGCAGCCAAATAAAGAATATATATATATATTCTATATATATATATATATATATATATATATATATATATATATATATCTTGTGGCATTTACTGTCAGTTTTGAATTTTTGTTTTGTACACAGATGTGATTGTGTGTGTTAAATGCCAATGTATTTTATATGACCTTGATATTGTCCAGAATTTTTTCCCTCATGATTATTCTTTTTTGATAAGGGTATGATCACACATTTAGATAAGAATAACTAATCATTATCTGTTAGTGATGATGCGTCAGCCACATCCTTTCTTGTTGAATGTAATGCTGACACATGTACAAAAATGGCTGGTTCCCGGTGGAGTTCAGAAGATGTGCAATGTGTATATTTTTGTGTATTTTATATAGGGTTTCTCCCATGCTAGTCACATGGTAGACCACTAAACTATACCCTTAAATATGTTTTTCTACCTAATTTGAGACTGGCCCTAATGACTTTATCATTCCAGATGAATTTACAATCCATTGTAATCCTCCTGCCTCAGACTTCCAAAGTATAAAGAATTTGACTGATTTTTCTCAACTCTCAGTCTCTTTGAAAGATAGTGTTCTGACTAGTATCTAACTCAAGGTCATATATCAAGGTCATAACTCAAGGACAGTGTCAAGATCATATGAAACATCATGATATGTAACTCACATAATCACATATGTGTACAGAACAAAAATAAAAACCTGTCCCTTTAACAGTGACTACTCTTAGAAACATCAATGGCCTTTTCCATCATGGCTATGAGCCATAATTTGCAGTCATCTCACATGTGTGCACACCTCATGGATCCAACTGATGTCATTCTCTCCGCCAGCTGCTCAACTTGCAAATCCTTGGCAATCAGTTTTTGTCTTTTGTTTCCCAAGTATCCGTGAACACTTTGTAAATATGGAGCACATGTACACAGTGTGGGTACCACGTGTCTCCTGTTACACACATCCCAGGGATCACTGTAACCCTTCTGAAAAATTTCCTTGCCTTCTGTGGTCAGTTCCATCATCCCAGACCTTCTGACCATCAGGGAAATCTGAAAGAGGGTCAGTAGGTCAGTAGGGTAAACCAAAGCCAAGAGCCATAGATCTTGGTCCAGCAATTCAGAGATGCGATTTATTGGCAACCTTTAGTAGTTACCACCTCACGCCAGGTATCTGGAATATGAACTAGATGCTCTTCAACACTCCCTTGCTCCATCCAATAGTTTAAGTTATAGTAACCTGCTTGCACTCAACTTTATGTTTTCTTTTCTGCACCAATCTGTCTTCTGAAACCTGTTTACACTTTTCCTCCCCCCTTTTCTTTTGATGCATTTTCTCTTAAGTTTTATTTGGGGAAGTAAAATATACAACGATAATGTGTATAAATGTGAGAAAAAAAGAGAGGGGCATGGGAGAGGGAGAAAGACAGAGGGGGTAGGGAAAAAATGTTTTCATGGGAAGGGCATGGACCATTTTCCTTCTTAGGGCAGGCACCATCCTCAGGGGGCACCATTAGATCAAAGAAGACTGGCTGATGTAATGCAGAATGTATGTTGCATGGTTTTGAAGACCTAACTGAGCTGAAATGTGTCTGAATGTTTGTGTGAAGGATTCTTCCCCTGTGTGTATTTGGCAGACCTGTTTGATGTTGGAGTGTGTTTCCGTGTTTGGCAGTATGGATGTCAGAGAGGGAAGACAAATAAAGAACAAATAAGCAGATTGAAACATACAGCACTGTTTTGTTGAAATAGTTTTAAGAGAATCAACTCAACAGAGCAAGGGCAATTTTGGGACAAAGACTTCAGAGTCAGTGGTGAGATGAAGTAGGAACCATTCACCCTTGGATGGGAACCACTCAGGGAAAGAAGAAAATCCTGCCATAGCTGTGGTTTTCCAAAGTAGTAGACACTGAGTAGCTTTGAATAGTCTTGTACCAATGTGTCTTGTATGTATAAAAACTACATGCGCACACACAGAATCCCACCCCATACACACAGTCACAAATTGGGCATCTTTTAGCTATAGACCTCCGGACCCATTTTTGCTGTGCTATTCCTGCTTGTTTGATACTGAAAAAGTAATGTTAGTTCGATAAAGCATTGACATACACACGCAGTCAGGAATGGAGTTAAAAGGTATTTAATTGGAGAAGAACACTGAAAATTCACTTGTCCCACACCTCCTTCTCCTTCAGATGAATCCTGAACCACAGGGAGATTAGCCATTCAAGGAGACTTTGGACCATGTCGAGAGGCTCAGGAACCCCGGAGAATGAGTGTGAGAGACATCTGTTTAGATGGTGCAAAGAGGGAGGGATGAAGACCAAAGGCACATCATGTGAAGTACAGGGAATTGGATGCATAAGCAGAATGGATGGAAAGGGGCCTCGGCATCCAGCAATCAGGTCTTCATGGCATGGCTGGGGACGACATTACTTCTGTTTTGTCTTCTGCTGATACGGTTCTGGAGTGACATTTGAGGGGCATGGCTCAGGAACAACTGGGTGGCAAGGCTCAGGTGCCTTGGGGTGGCAAGGCTCAGGTGCCTTGGGGTGGCAAGGCTCAGGTGCCTTGGGGTGGCAAGGCTCAGGTGCCTTGTGGTGGCAGGGCTCAGGCGCCTTAGGCTGGCAGGGCTCAGGTGCCTTAGGCTGGCAAGGCTCAGGCACCTTGGGCTGGCTGGGCTCAGGCACCTTAGGCTGGCAGGGCTCTGGAGCCTTAGGCTGGCAGGGCTCTGGAACCTTGGGGTTGCAGGGCTCAGGAACATTGGGGTGGCAAGGCTCCTTGGTTTTGGGGGCACAAGGTTCTGAGGGTGGTGGCTGGCAAGGCTGTTTCACCTGATGCTGCTGCAGCTGAGGGGGTGCAGTGCATGGTTGCTTCTGCTGGTGGGAACTCATGTTTAGATAGCACTTGATCCTGGAAACAGAGAAGCTAACTTAGTAATTGGTTGAAAGAGAAGGTAACTTCAAAGTCAAGCAAATTTCATTTCAGGCCCTTTTAAAGGAAAAAGTCCCTTTCCATGGTGACTTCTACACTTGAAAGAAAAACATGATGTCATAATTTCTGAACCTTTTCAAGAGAATGAGCCAAAGGGTGGTTTGCTCTGATCCATCCCAGTGGGTTTCTTTCTCACTCTCCCTCTCCCTGGTCACGTTATACACCTAACTGAAGATGTTCCAAGACAAGAGTGAAAAGAGCCAAGCAGAAAGACATATGCATATGAAATCTCACAGAAAAACCTATGCCTATAGACTAACCAAAAGCATTAATAATAAAAGAAAAAGCAATAAAATGTCTCAAAAAAAAAGCTGGTTTCTGAGAGGGTTGTGAATTCTCACCAGGACTTCTGGAAAACAACCTCTTTGTGAACTAAATCACAACATGACTTGCAGGGGCGCCTGCATATCAATCCACTCTATCCCATGCTCTCACTGTTTCCTATTGATTTTCCCATTTCCATGTTTGTTTCCCGTCATAGTTTACATACGCACTAGCACAAGGGGCGACCTTCGAGCCACACATCCCCCGGACGTGCCCTTTCCACCATCACTTCTGGCGCTAGCACTGTCTATGCCTGGCATCTCAGTTCCGTGTGTGTCCCCTCTCTGTCAGACTACAGGTTGGTAAGCTCCATATGGACCAGAAAACAATGCTTGGCAGGTCCACTTTATTGAGCTTCCTACCAGTGAGAACTGCAGTAGAGCTGAAAGCTCTCTGGGCTGAAGCCTTAGCCTGTGTCCTTCTGTGATCTTTGACGCACATCTCCAAGTGGATCCTTCCTTCCCCTCTCCTGATCTCTGATTCCACGGCTATCTATCAAGGTGGCTGTCTGAATCATCTCCCTTCAGACCCCAACTGTGCTATAGTTTGAGCAAGAAATTCTAATGTTCTCTAACTCTGGGTAGCACCCCACATCAACCCTGTCACAGACATTGGCTTTGTACAGTTTCCCATAGTGAAAAATAGACAAGAATTTCAAATCTGCTGCAAGCAGAGACTCACCTAATGTGCAAAGAAGAGCAGGCTCTCTGTTAAGCGTGGATCTTGTGTGAAGGCAATGGCCAGCTGGGCTTTTATAAGAAGGGACATCTCCAGGAAACAGACTTGCCCTAGCTGCTCTGTTTTCATTTCTTACCAGTCACCCATGACTCACCCTCCTCCCCTAGTTCACCCTCTGACTCAGCTTTTGTGATGGAAACCACCTAGCTGGTATAATGACACTGACGGTCTGGCAATGATGTCACCTGGTTTCCCTGTCACCCTCCTCCTCAGGCCCAGGTGCCATGCTTCTGTTGGGAGAGGGTTAATGAGCTGGCCTGGAGGAGGTCTGAAGTGGTCCCTACACCTGCTGTCTTCGTTAAGATGGCCAGTCCTTGTATTCTGCTTGGCAGACTACTGTGTGCATGCCAACAAGTGCAGGGGGGAGGAAAGTGGGAGCAGGATGGGCAGGGCTGCGATACAGAGGTAATCGATTATAGACTCTCCTTTTAACTATCTTCATCTTAGGGCCAACAGCGGAGGTTTGAATGGCTCTGTGAGGAGCCAGAAAGAGGCCTGCCTTGTAGGGAGCCCCTACTGTAACCAAGATGAACCTGTGAAGTAGGAATAAGGCTGCTAGATACGTGCAAGGCTCTGCAGATAAAACATAGATATTTCTAGATCTGTAAAAGCTCCGGAGGGCCATGAATTAGAATAGGGAGAAATAAGATAACCAAATAGCTCAGAGACTTTCTTAAGCCAGCAGCCCCAGTGGTTATAGACGCTGCAAACTGTGTGGATGGTTCAGAACTTGATGTATATTCCTTACATCTCCCACCTCCACGGAACTGTACACATTACAAACTATTTGCTTATCAACCCCCCCAACTGCACCCCTTTCTGACTGGTCCCTAACCTGGGAAAACCTGATTTACTTCCTCACCACACCTTCCCCGCTCTCCCCACAGCCTGGTTCTGAAATTTCAGCTGCTAAAGCTGATCAGTTTTCCAGGGTAGCTTTTCTTCCCACTCCACCCAGCCAGCTGCCTGTGGCTGCTTCCCCTTTCCTTGCCCTGTTGACTTCTTCCCCATACCTGAAAACCTGGAATCCTTGTAACCACCTTCATCTTAGGGCCAACAGCAGAGGTTTGAATGGCTCTGTGAGGAGCCAGAAAGAGGCCTGCCTTGTAGGGAGCCCCTACTGTAACCAAGATGAACCTGTGAAGTAGGAATAAGGCTGCTAGATACGTGCAAGGCTCTGCAGATAAAACATAGATATTTCTAGATCTGTAAAAGCTCCGGAGGGCCATGAATTAGAATAGGGAGAAATAAGATAACCAAATAGCTCAGAGACTTTCTTAAGCCAGCAGCCCCAGTGGTTAAAAGCGATGTAGTGTCTCCCTCAAAGGGGTTCCACATTTGCCATGGAAAGTGCCTTCATCTGCAGAGAGCTCCTGTGACAAAAATAACTGACAGAAATGACACTCTGTTGATATTTGTTACATGAAGAAGAAGCACATATTATCACAAGAACAGCATGAGTTTGAACAGGCACAGAACTGGTCCTTGAGAGCCCTCAGGGGTACTGGTTCAAAGTGGGCAGGAAAATCCTATAGTCCATGAAGCTTCCAGTCAGTCAGAGTCCGAGAGAGGAAGGAAAGGACCATGATGCTAAACCAACAGTTTTGGATTTATTTATTTATTTCGAATGAGCGTTTTGCCTGTGTGTATGTACATACATGAAATATATAAAGGGCCCATGGAGGTCAGAAGGTGGTAAATTCCACGGCACTTGAGTTAGGGATGGTTATGAATGATCACATGGGTGCTGGAAACTAAACTTGAGTCTTCTGCAAGAACAGCAAATGTTCTTGATCATTGAGTCATCTCTCCAGCTCCTAAAAAGACTATTTTTAATTTAGTAGATTTTCCTTTGGAGGAGGTTTTAAGATAACATGGGGAGTGGCTAGGGTGAGACATGTCTGAACATGTGACACAGAGCGTGTTTTCTTCAGGCTGGCTATTTTCTGGGGATTTGCCCTGTCAAGAGACCTGTGTGTTCTGAGGGCATATGAAGAAGCATTCCCTTAGCCCTGGCACCAGCAATGTTTTCTGACCAACATAACACGAGACTGATGTCACTGACTCAGAACCACATTCCAAACACTATCTGTTAAAGGGTGTGACCTTTGGAGCATCTAAGTGATCTTAAAACACGTGTGTAGATGGTGCCTCTTCTTCATCCCACACTTCTCTTTCCTTCCCTCCACAAACAAACACCCAAATGTTTTTAGAGCACTTGCTAGCCACACAGCTAGATCACCTCTTGTGAACTTGAGTCAAGATTATCCTTCTATTCTGTCCCAATAGCCAATGGCTCTCGTTCATGGAGACATGCTGCCCAGTGTATCAGATCTGTGTAGTAGTTGGCAGTTGTAGAACTGAAACATGAATGAATGAACAAATGAAGGAAGAAAGGACATTTTTTTTCTGAACAGAGTTTGAAGACTTCTTTAAATTCCTTTTCACTTTTATTTATCTTATTTTATGTGTATGAATGCTTTGCTAGCATATATGTATATACACCATGTGTGTACCTGATGGCCACAGAGGTCAGAAGACTGTGTTGAATCCCTTGGAATGGGAGTGAAGTTGTGAGCCACCATATAGGTGCTAGGAACCAAACCCAGGTCCTCTGCAAGAGTAGCAAGTGCTCTTAATCCTTGAGCCATTGCTCCAGATGAGTCTTCTTCAACAGTGGCTAGGATGTCCCATTTAAGAGAGCACCCCGTTGTGATGGATCTTCCAGGATGATCTGAGGAGAGGTTATGGAAATTCAGCAAAGCATATATGATGTTTCTGCTATCTTCCCCTTCCCTCTACTCCACTGTTACCTAGTGTTATCACCAACCTGAACCTCTGTGGGCTGAGGCAGAGTCACCACCACACCTGAACCTCAAGCCTCTTTCTTCACTTCAGCCTGCTTTAGTTGGGTTTAGATCTGTTTCTCAGTTGACCTCTATGATTGCGTTAGCTCCCTTACTCATTTTTACCCAACTTTCAGGTTTACCTTTTGTCAACTCTATCTCAAATTATTAGGTAGTGACAATGGCTACATAATCTTTGCTTTATAAGAACAGGCTAAAGTCATTGTTAATCATCCCTTGACCTGAACATGCCCTGGCTAAAGAAACAGAGGCAGGGAAACCATCCACTTCCCAGGAGTTCATAAAGATGAACTGTGCTGTGTTACAGTCCCTTGACAACCTTATGTGCAGTGCTATGGAAAGTCTTGCAAGATGCTTGCTCTGCCCAAGTCATGACCTGGGCAGAGATGGGATCCTCTGTGTGTGGATGATGGAAAGATATAGAGAACTACACAGAACATTGGAAGCTGAGATGGTTCATGCTGATGTTCTCTTCCTCATAGCCTTCATCACCCCATGGACGGTTGAAGGACAAACACAAGGCTAAAAGTTTTCTGTAGAGAGTATCTGTCATTAAGCAACGGTGGGAGCTCAGCGTGGTTTCCATGGCTACTGCTCCTTTCTCTCACTTGTGTGGTTGTGCTTGCTCAGCAAGTTCCCACAGGGCACCCTCTGTAGACCACAAATTTGAAATCCTGACTCTGCCTTACTAGCTATGTTTGTGAGGTTGGAGAGTTTCTGAACAATAACTGTCAACATTATCTTGCCCTGGTACCCACAACAGCAGTGTAAGAAACAGAATGGCAGCTGAGGCAGGGAGTCTCTCCAGATGTTGGGAGCAATCAGTCAGGTGGCAGACAAGGTGCAAACCCAGCACTGTGAGGCTGAGGCCCTGAGATCTGGCTTATCTTACCTGTGTCTTAGGAATGATAGCACCTGCCTTCAGAACTGTCATTACCTGAGATTACACATGCAAAGCGACTCTGGTGACTAGTGCTCTGCAGTGGATGGTAGATAGCAAGTGTATTTTTCTTAAGGGTTTGAACCACAGCTATTATTAGAAACCCATTTCCAGTGACTCATAAAATTCTTTCATTTTCTTCATTTTTGAAGTGGTCACTCATTTGTTGAACACATAGTTGCCGAATGACGGTCCAATGGCGATCCTGAGCTCCCAGCTTTGTGAAATCTGGTGGAGAACTGGGCAACATTCCGGGACGCACTTCTGGGATCTAAATCACGTTATGGAAAGAGAATTTCCACATGGGTCTAACAGTAAGAATCTCTTAGAATGTTGCGAAGGATGCAATTTTATTTTTACAATCACATTTTCCAGCTTGGAACTAATATTAATGCTAATGAAGAAGTATTAGGAATTAATATTAATTCTAATGGGAGGAATAGCAAAGAGAAGGACCTATGGACTCATGTTTCTGAGATGTTTCTTGGCTGATTTTCAGGATAAGACAATTTAGGCAACACCAGAGTGTATATGCAATGTAACTTCTTTCATGATTACAATTGACATTATCTGATGTCTTTTAAAAAAATGTACATATCTGAGTTTCATGGTCTTTTTCTCTAGTCTTGCAAAATAACTATTCTAAAAGAAGTCTCAACTTCTAGTATCTGAATCCAGTAGGTGAATCTCTGTACTGTTAAGTACTCCGAGTGGAAGGAGGTGCAGATGGGTGCTAGGGAAGATGTTGGTGCTGATGAGTCTAGGTGCTTTTGAGTGTGGGTGTTTGGCCTAAGGACACTGGGAGCCTTGTGACACAATTAAGTTCCATCTAAAGAAGGCTAAGCACTTCCACACACCCATCTTCCTCACTCTCCCTCCAGGGAACCAGCAAAGGACAGGCTCAGGCTGGTTTAGCAGGTCTGGGCCTGGATCCAGTAGCCTAAGGCCAGGAGATGATCCTATGTCACCTTTAAAGATTCGATCATGCCCATGGTACAGAGAGTCTCTGCTCTGCTAAATGACCATTCGCCAGTCTCCAAGGACCGTCTGGCTAGGCCAAATTAAAACCTTTGAGAACCAGAGTAATAACAAAACAGAGTTTTCTGCTATTTAAAAAGGCAAATGTGTTCCTCACCTCTTAGATAGGTACCTCAAATGTAACTGA